ATACGCAATGAAAAAAGGCTAAGCATATTGATTTCTGTTTCAAATATGGCGCCGTTCACGCTTCAGAGAGAAAACTGTCCGATGACAGCCTTTTTTGGTTCCTTCATCATCTTGAAACATGGAACATATTCGGGATCAATTATGTCCGATGATACAACAAGAGGCCCAGAGGGGCCTGTATCGCTCATTTGTTTCTTTTGTTACATGAAACCGACATATAGGTAACTTAAGACTAGGTAACTAGAACACAAGACATTTTGACATCTCTTTAACGCTTCTTAAGATATTGTTGTTTGAAATTTGAAATTGTAATTTTAAAGCTTTTAACCCACGTTGACCTTTCACTCTGGCTTGTACTTGACATTTGACCTCATTACTGTAATTAAGAAAACGATTCACATCTGGTCAACATAACATACCCTAGTATCATGACTCTAGACCAAATGGTTCTTAGGATATTGTTGTTCGAAGTTTTTAACATATTTGACCCCTGTGACATTGAAAGTAGGTCAAGGTCAACATCATTTTAATGAAAGAAATGTATAGCACTCAATTTCAGGTACCCACTGGCCAAATATCATGACCCTGGGACTTATGGAACTTGAGAAGATTGTTAAAGCTTTTATTCCATGTTGACATTGGACCGGCAACTAGCACTCAAAGTTGACCTTTGATCTCATTACTGTAATAAAGAAAAATGTGTACTGCTGGTCTAAATAACATACCCAAGTATCATGACTCTAGTCCAAATGGTTCTTAGGATATTGTTGTTCGAAGTTTTTAACATATTTGACGCCTGTGACATTGAAAGCAGGACAAGGACAACATCATTTTAATGAAAGAAATGTATAGCACTCAATTTCAGGTACCCACTGGCCAAAACATATTTGACCCCTGTGACATTGAAAGTAGGTCAAGGTCATTTTAATGAGGAAACTTTATAGCACTCAATCTCAGGTACCTACTGGTCAAATATCATGACCCTATGCCCTCCATTTCTTCAGAAGAAGTCGTTTAAAAGAAAAGGTTGACGGACGACGGACGCGGCAGTACGACATAAGCTCACATCGCCTGCTGGCAAACTTCTTATTCCATGGATGTACATTCAAAATTCTTTTACGGTAAAGTAAACAATCGTTACTTTCTTTTGCGACGTTCGACTACAAGAGCAGTGTATCAATGTGTGTACATAACGACCGTTATACATAAATACATTTAAAAAACTACAGCTACCGTTGTTACCATCGTAACAACCCACTTCAAATTTCTGTTTCTTTGTACAGCTTTTGAACATTATTTATGATGACAATGTAAGGATTTACCTTCATTTCGACAGCACATACAGTAGTAACGCGCACCATATAACATGTTCGTTGAAAGCAGCATTCAAATTACCGTATGCACCGTCAAAATGCAGGTCAATCCTTAAATTGTGTGTTAACAAACAGCCACATTACAAACTAAACAAGCATGCAATTAAACAAAAGACCTTGGCAGCCTGTATCGGCCACCTGGAAATTTAGCAATCATGGCAAAAAGTGTTCATTAAATATCATACAGTAAATATAATACATTCAAATATTGATTTTGTCTCACCCTTACCTTCTTTGGTCCCCTCCGTTCCCGTAGGGACACCCTTGGTTTATAAAACATTGAATCCCATATGGCAAAAGAACTCCTATATCAAATTGGGTTGATCCCTTCTTCTGTATAGAAGGAGAACCTTTATTTAACTTATGGTGCAACGATTTATAAATATAAAGAGGTTGGCATTTTGGGTGACTTTAACGTTTTAAGGGGGTTAAACCGAACTGAGATATATGCGGTTGTTGCAATATGATAATTTGATTTAAAGCGTAGACCTAACTGAATGTAAAGATAAAGTTCAATACGAGTGCAATTCTGGTTTATATAGGTTCTGAATATTTCCCACTGGAAAATACTATTCAAATCATGGCTATTAAGAACAAGACATATTAATTTACCGAGCATGTCTCAGCATCAGCTTACTGTAAAGAAAGTATCCCAATAGGGTATTTTTTTTTACTATAATCAGCAATTTTGGTACAGAAATCCTGTCATCTCAGGATATATCTGCATACCAAATTCGGTTACTCTAGTTGAAATAGTATATAAGACAGGCTTTCGACAAACTTTAAAAACCAGAGGTCAAACATATATCACAGTGACCTTCTTTTCGTTAACTTCACTCCACCATCATCAGAAATATCTGGGTTTCTTTTATTCAAAGGTCAAAACTAAGGTCATACCATATACTCCACTATCCAAAGATGTACCTCCATACAAAATATGAATATTCAAGTTTGAATAATATGTGAGATATGCCCAAGACAAACTTTGACCTTTCACCTTAACCAGCAATCTCTAGAAGAAAAGTAGTGTAATTGAAGTTGGTAGCCTATACCGATAATCATTGAGACCTCTTTTTTTACATTTTCTCGTGATGAAATGACGTCTATGTATCAAAATCATCTAAGCATGATTTTAGGGCCAATGTACTTTTTAACAGTTTATTTTAGGTATTAAGCTTACGTATGGAAAATACCACATGTTGTATGTTTGTCCCAATATGTTAAGGCACATACATATTATAATCATACTCTTTAATGCAGAGAAACATATTATTCTATTTAATATCGCACAGTTAATAGAACAAGAGGCCCAATGGGCCTGCATCGCTCACCTGATATTAATCTAACAATTGTAACTTTAAAAGAGGACTAAAATAAAGCTACAGGCAAAATATCAGCGTCTTGACTTAAAGTTTAAAGTAATTCAGAAAAAATGGGCAAAGGTCATTCATTTGAACAAACTTGGTAGCCCTTCATCCCAGCCTCTCCGTGATTCAGAAGAAGTCGTTTTAAGCTTTTAAACATATCTGACCCCTGTAACCTTGAATATAAATCAAGGTCATGTATTTGAACAACCTTGGTAGCCCTTCATCCAAGCATGTTACTGGCCAAATATCATCACCCTAGGCCTCTTGGTTATTCAGAAGAAGTCGTTTAAAAGTTTTACACATATTTGACCCAAGTGACCTTGAATATAAATCAAGGTCATTTATTTGAACAAACTTGGTAGCCCTTCGTCCCAGCATGTTACTGGCCAAATAGCAACACCCTAGACCTCTCAGTTATTTAGAAGAAGTCGTTTAAAGGTTTTTAAACATATTTGACCCCAGTGACCTAGAATATAAATCAAGATCATTTATTTGAACAAACTTGGTAGTGCTCCATCCCAGCATGTTACTGGTCAAATATCATCACCCTAGACCTCTCAGTTATTCAGAAGAAGTCGTTTAAAGGTTTTTAAACATATTTGACCCCAGTGACCTTGAATATAAATCAAGGTCATTTATTTGAACAAACTTGGTAGCCCTCCAACCCAGCATGTTACTGGTCAAATATCATCACCCTAGGCCTCTTATTTGTTCAGAAGAAGTCGTTTAAAGGTTTTAAACATATTTGACTCCAGTGACCATGAATATAAATCAAGGTCATTTATTTGAAACAAACTTGGTAGCCCTTCATCCCAGCCTCTCCGTGATTCAGAAGAAGTCGTTTTAAGCTTTTAAACATATCTGACCCCTGTAACCTTGAATATAAATCAAGGTCATTTATTTGAAACAAACTTGGTAGCCCTTCATTGAGCATGTAACTGGCACAATATCATCACCCTAGGTCTCTCGGTTATTCAGAAGTCGTTTAAAGCTTTTTAACATATTTCACCCCTGTGACCTTGAATATAAGTCAAGGTCATTTATTTGAACAAACTTGGTTTATCCAAGCATGTCATCACCCTAGGCCTCTTGGTTATTCAGAAGAAGTCGTTAAAAGATTTTAACATATTTGACCCCTGTGACATTGATCATTGATGAAGGTCATTTATTTGAACAAACTTGGTAGCCCTTCATCCAAGCATGCTTCTGGTCAAATATTATCACCCTAGGCCTCTTGGTTTTTCAAAAGAAGTTGTTTAAATGTTTTTAACATATTTGACCCCTGTGACCTTGGATATAAGTCAAGGTCATTTATTTGAACAACTTGGCAGCCCTTCATCCCAGCATGTTACTGGCCAAATATCATCACCCTAGGCCACTTGGTTATTCAAAAGAAGTTGTTGAAAGGATTTTAACATATTTGACCCCTGTGACCTTGAATATAAGGCAAGGTCATTTATTTGAACAAACTTGGTAGCCCTTCATCCAAGCATGCTTCTGGCCAAATATCATCACCTTCGGCCTTTTGGTTACTGAGAAGAAGTTGTTTAAAGTAAAAGATTGACGCCGGACGGACAACGGACGCCGCACCATGCCTTAAGCTCACTTGGTCCTTCGGGCCAGGTGAGCTAATAAAAAATGGTACAGGCAATATGCATTTGAAGGTCACAAACAAAAACACTTGTGAACCACAGTACTATGATCAGATGCATAATTAGGCAAATTCAAGGCTGATTCCTACCTAGGCGAAAAAGTTGTTTGGTTAATTCATTTGAACAAACTTGGTAGCCCTTTATCCCAGCATGCTATAGGCCCAATATCAGTTCCCTGGGCCTTTTGGTTATTGAGAAGTCATTTGAAGATTTTAAAACATCAGACCCCAGTGACCTTGAAAGCGGGTCAAGGTCATTTATTTGAACAAACTTGGTAGCCCTTCATCCCAGTTTGTTTCTGGCCAAATATCATAACCCTAGGCCTTTTGGTTATTAAGAAGAAGTTGTTTGAAGTAAAATATTGACGCCGGACGCCAGCCGGACGATGGAAGCTGCACCATGCCATAAGCTCACTTGGCCCTTTGGCAACACTTTCTCGGGACCATAGGTCGATCATTCCTACTAAATTTCAGTTAAATCAGTCCAGCGGCCATATTGGATTTCTGATCAACCCGAAAAATAACAATACTTGGTCAGGGAGTTGGCAGTAACATTCCCATGAAGTATCAATGAAATCCCTTTGACAGTAATTTAGCTTAAGTTGAAAATGTAAAATGTTAACGAACGACGGACGACGACGGATAGCAATAGGTCACTTGAGTTAAAAGCTCAGGTGACCTAACAACAGGTCATATTAGTTGTTTTTGGTTTCCGCTGGTTGCTGGTCTTCTTCATTGTCTGGTGGCAGGGGATCCGCATGTTTCGTGAAATCGACATCTACGTAGTCAGTTTTGTTTTCGATACCATGGATAATGAAGTTTCTGCCATTTTGATTGTCATCTTTGAATTCGAGGTCCAAGTAGATGAGGCCATCTTTATTCTATATTGGGAAAAAAAGGGGAGAATGTTATATATTATTTTGACGTCTTTTTCTAGATAAGGCATTTAAAGCAATACATTAGTCGGCCTCTGTATACCAACCCCCAGTTCTATTGTCAACCCTGCATACCGCAATGATGTTGTTAGAAACATTTTCCCCACTATATAAAACCCTGTTAATATCGCATCCCCGTATATCGCCATCCGCCAACCATTTTCAAATACAAAACTGTTCATACCCCGACAACATCGCCATTGTTTACGCTTTGGTCTGATATTTGGTCAATGAATGATTCAGTCATGCGTGTTTAATCCACATGTACAGGTACACGTGAGAGTTAATTACCCCGAGTTTACATAGTAAACACAACTCTTCTGTAATGTTTTATACGTATTGTGGTTGTTATTTGCACATTATATATTTCATTTTCGTAATTTTACTGCTTTAAGCACATTGGCTGCCAAAGTATAGCTTTTGACAAGGAGAAGGTAATTTTATACGTCGTAAGAGATTTGAATCGATCCGATACTGGAGAATGCAGCAAAATAAGAAGTGTTCAATTAATAAGATTACTTATAACTAACCCCTCACATGAGTATAATGTTAACAAATAATGTGTGATCGTTAAAATAAAACCAAACCTTACTGAAATCAAGCTACTATTGACATGACAGATCACACAAAATGTTTTCTCAATTCCTGTTACTTTATATGGCCTTTACCAAATATGGCTTTACTATTTTTTCCGCCATATTTACTACGTTTTCCATTTTTGGTCATGGCACCCATATATAGAAGTCTGACCTAGTCAATTCAGAATTTAATTACCAACGCAACGTAAACTTGATCATTTTACAAATCAATACACGACACAACGAAAAACGACTTTGATGAGATAAAATGGTTCCCACAAAACAGTGCACTCAAGTAGGAGACACCCCTGATCAAAACATGATCCGTACTTTGCATCCCAGATTGTGTCGGTGAATTGTACAAATGTAAACTACATTTGTTAATTAACTTATAATGTTTAAAAGCTGCATATGATTTATATTTTGTCTTTGCATTAATTTCAAAAGAAATATGTGTGCATTAATTTCAAAAGAAATATGTGTATGTATATGCAGTGTTTGTTACAAAAATTGGTACTGGACAAAAGATGGCGGTATAACGGGGGACTACTGTATAGCCATATTTGGCCCAACCTTCACCACCTCAGATGGTGGCTATATTTTCCAGATTGGCTGCCATCACAAAATATTCATGATACATTATCAAAAGCCGATAGTAAAAACTAAAACGTTATTAGAACTAGCTTTTGGAGGAGAAGTGATAAAAAGTTTATATCCAGGCAAAAAACGAGGAACATTTTTATAGTATGAAATGTTTTATATAAATTGTAAAACACGTACCTTTTTCCGTGAAGGATTCACATCCGCAGCAGCTGCTGTACCACCATCACAATTGGCGTAGATATTATCTCCTGTTCCATCGACAGCGTCAACTTGTTCGTATGCATCTCCAGCTGTACAAAATAATACAGAAACTGTTTGGTACTGAAATATAACCTGGTATTAATCTCACACATGTAATCTTAAAAGTGGACTAAAATACAGTAACAGGCAAAATATCAGTGTTTCATTCATAAGAACCTTTTAAAAGATTTACAAATATGACACCTGTGACCTTGAATGTCGAACAAGGACATTCTAATATTAGGTTGAACAGAGTTTATAGTATTCCAACCCAGCATGCTTCTGGGAAAATATCATTACCCTGGACCTTTTGGTTATACAGAACAAAATCATTTTAAGATTTAAACATATATTGACCACTGTGACCTTGAATATGGGTGAAGGTCATTCACTTGGTAGTCCTTCATCCCAGCATGTTAATGGCCAAATATCATCACACCTGGCCTTTTGCTTATTAAGGAGAAGTCATTCAATGGTTTTAAACATATTTGACCCCTGTAACCTTAAAATATATATGTCAAGGTAATTCATTTGAACTTGGTAGTCCTTCATCCCAGCATGTTACTGGCATTATCCTAGGCCTCTTGGTTATTCAGAAGTTGTTTAAAGGATAAGAACATATTTGACGCTGTGACCTTGAAAAAAGATGAAGGTCATTCATTTTAACAAACTTTATAGCCCTTCATCCCAGCATATTACTGCCTAAATATCATCACCCTAGGCCTCTCGGTTATTCAGAAGAAATTGTTTAAATGTTTTTAACATATTTGACCCCTGTGACCTTGAATATAAGTCAAGGTCATTTATTTGAAAAATCCTGGCAGCCCTTCATCCCAGCATGTTACTGGCTATCATCACCCTAGGCCTTTTGGTTACCGAGAGGGAGTTGTTTAAAGTAAAAAGATGACGCCGGACGGATGCCGGACGGACGACGGACGCCGCACCATGCCATAAGCTCACTTGGCCAAGTGAGCTAAAAATCCCCATCAACTGGAAATTGGTTATCATGTATCTAACTAAAGTTAGCTTATTCTAAAAAATTTAAAAGACATAAGGTTTACCGAGTTAACAAACTTATGAATTGTATTGAAGATGTTCGTGAGTTCCCTTAATGTCATCACAATAACATACCTGCACCATTTTGGTTGCCTTTCCCGCCCTTAGTTTTCTTCTTTTCATCTTTGCCTATGGAAATGCAACACAATTTAATTGAACATTTTCTGCTCACCTACTTGAATTAAAGCATAAGTCACAATGTTTATTTCCGTCTGGTATTAAATATCTATTTTCATTATCGAATGTACGTTGGCAAATATAGTAATTATAGTCAGGTAAGAAAATTGTGATCATTTTGGTGGAGACTGGTGAGTTTACACTGTATATATGTCAGAGCAAGGATCTATTAATTTCGAACTTGTAAACGAGAGGTACACAAACAGGCTTTTTGTCATAACAATATGCCAGACAGCATATAGACATTTATTGTAATGTATCTCTGTTTATTTTATTTCAACAAGAACAAAAATTACATTAATATTTTTCTCTCATTTCCGTGTTTGTAAGATAGAGCTGTCCAGTTTAAGAAAGTGGAGTACGAAAATCTATCTTGTACCCAATGACGTAACAATGGTTCAATAAGGACGTGACGTCACGAATTTGGAAACATCTGATACCGCAATGCAGAACAAGAGGCCCAGAGGGCCTGTATCACTCACCTGAATATGTTTAAAATAATTTGTGTGAAGTAGGTGCTGTAAATACATATGAAATTTCAGAAAGATCCATCCAGTACTTGAGATATAGCAAGAAAAAACTTCAAACAGAGCCCCACCCCTATGCAACCTAGGGGGGGTCATACCCACCAATTATACAAAATTGAGTCCCCTTGGTCCATTGATGCTAAATAAGGATAAAATCCCATAATCCCGGTTGTCCAAGTAGGGTTTTAAAGGTTTTACATCTATTTCTCCAATTGAGCCCTGCCCTTCTGCCCCCTGGGAGACCACACCCACTGCTTATACAAAATTGTTTCCCGTTCACCCAAGGCTGCTTCACACCAAATTTGGACAAAATCCTGTCATTCCTACAAAAGGTGAAGGATTTTGAAGAATTTGCTATGTTTCCCCTATTGGGCCCCTCCCTTCTGCCCACAGGGGGACCACACTCGCTATTTATACGAAATTGAGTCCCTTTTGCCTAAGGATGTTCCAGACTAAATTAGGAAAATATCCCTTAATCCCTATGATAGAAGTGGGATTATAAAGGTTTTATCTATATGTCTTCTATTGGGCCACGCCCCTCAGGTCCCAGATGGGCCACACCCTCCGTTTATACAAAATTGGTTCCCCTTTACCAATGATGCTCCACACCAAATATGGACCAATTCCTACAGAAGAAGGATTTTAAAGAATAATCTGCTATGTTTCCCCTATTGGGCCCCGCCTCTCAGGCCCCTGGGGGGCCAGACCCACGGTTTATAGAAAAAGGTTCCCTTTTACCTAAGGATGCTTCAGACTAAATATGGACCAAATCCCGTCATTCCTACAGAAGGAGATGGATTTAAAAGAATTTGCTATATTTCCCCTATTAGGCCCCGCCCCTCAGTCCCAAGGGGGGCCAGACCCACGGTTTATACAAAACACGTTCCCCTTTTCCCAAGGATGCTTCAGCCAAATATGGAACAAATCCTTTCATTCCTACAGAAGAAGAAGGATTTTAAAGAATTTGCTATATTTCCCCTATTTGGCCACGCCCCTCAGCCCCCAGGAAGGCCAGACCCACCATTTATACAAAATTTGTTCCCCTTCCCCCAAGGATGCTTCTGACTAAATTTGGTCAAAATCTGCCAGGTCGTTCATGACTAGTAGCATTTTAAAGGAAAAGTTGACGGACAGACGGACACTGCGGTATGGCATAAGCTCACCATGGTCCTTCTGACCAGATGAGCTAAAAAGACAACGTGATGATGAAATTAAAATATTTTACAATGTATTTTCTGTATACGCTAGAAAGATGAGATAAGATCTGGGCAAACAGAAAAAATGGGATATGCTAAATCGCTGACAGATTCGTTTTCGTCAAAAAGGCTCAAGGGAAAATTGATATTTTCAAAATGGTAGCCAGTCCAGTCATGGTTTCTTTGCTTATTCTGGTAGTTGGAATGGGAGAAAAAAATCTTTCAAACCCATGGATGTAGGATAAAGAACTCAACCCTCAGGATTTCAAACTTTGTAAAAACCCGAGGGTTTCTAAACGATTGAAGAATGCTGGAAAACAAATATGGTTGACATCCATCACTTTATTCCAGAGAAGAAGTCACATTCCAGTGATACATATTTGAGTCCATTTTGCCTGAGGTTGTTCTAATCCCTCTATTCATACAGAAGGAAAACAATGTTCAACATTTCCCCTTTGTTCTCTCTTATGGGTCCCCATCCCCTGCCCCCAGTCGAGGTTCACCTTTCCTTTATACAAAACTGAATTCCCCTTGCCAAATGATGTTCTAGACATTTTGTTAAAATCCCCCCATTTGTACAGAAGGAAAATAAATTTATAGATTTAACCAAATTTCACCAATTAGGTCCCCGCTCTTCTGCTCCAATGGGGGCCAAATCATCCATTTATACCAAATTGATTCCCCTATGCCCAATATTGCTCTACACCTTATTTGGTTCAAATCCCTCAACTCATTCAAAAGAAGAAGGTTTTTGAACACATTTTACTGTGTTCTTCCTTATGGGCCCTCACCTCTTTGCCCCCCCCCTCTCACGGCCTCTCCCGGTAGCCACACCCTCCATTTTACCCTCCCTTCGGGGAAGTCAGGTAACAACCAAGTTCTACTCGCTAATCTCTTGTAGTTCATACCTTTTTGCTTCTTTTTCCCTTCTTTTTGTTTTCCTACAACAATACAAACTGAAATGAATTGCATTTCACGTCAACATAGGAAAATTGTACCTCACTTTTTCTTGATATTATATTGTTATTTTAAACTTTCAAGGAAATAGAATTGTGATCAAGTCTATCCTGTCTATTCTTTTAAATTTTAACGAACATGGACATGATTTTTTTAAATGTCTTTTTTAGAGTTAATACATGAGAATATATAGTATACCTTTCCCTAATTTGTTTTTTGTTTTTTTAACTTCTGCATACACATCGTTAACGTTTTCGAGTTGTTCAGTCTTCGGTTTGTTCACAACAGCATAAACTGCGTCTGGCGATCCAGGCTTTCCTTTTGAAGGTTTCTGAACAACAGCATATTCCGAGGAAGTTCCTGGTTGAGCCTCAACAGACTCGTATAGAATGTTGTTTTTGAGTCCATCTGTAAGGCAACATGTGTGATTTCTTTTAATAAAAAAAAAGCAATTGGTATTACAGTGATGTTATCTTCCTTATACTTGATGTTTGTGTTGAGATCCAAATTTCATTTTCCTGAATGAATTAGCACGCGATGATGATATAAAATATGTTCAGCTGTGGGGAAGGATAACAAGGCCATCGGAAAGAAAATGATACCAACAATGTTAATGGCCATTATTCAATTTGCATGGTTTGGTCATTTTAAGCCACCAAATTCATGAAAATTCAAAGCCTATCTTTAAACATTCCAATAATTGTGTCTCTACTTTCGAATGCTTCTCTGGTATTATCATAAAAAGATAAATATTTGAATTTGTTTAGAGTGAACTGTGGCAAAAAGAAAATACCAAACGAACAATTTATAATTATGTACTGATGTGAAAATATTATTCCTATCCTGTTTTTTCCCATCCCATCTCGACGACTTCATCCCTCGGCCTCTGGATCTGCCACTGACACTACATTATTTATTCCACACAGTTATTCAATTTCATGAGATGTTACTATTTCTATGGCATTATGTGATGGTATATTTTGTTTTAAATCTAGTACTGATTAAGAACGATAATATGTTATATGTATTTTTATAAGCTTCAGGTATGGTGCCTACACTATTACAATTATTCTAATTCTTTCATGACAGAACAATTCATAAATATTTACAGATGTCACTGACAGGCTTTTGCTCTTGTTTAACAAATTTGACACTAGACACGTTATGACAAGATTGGTTCTGTGTTTCTCATATTAAAAGAACGTCAATAACGTTTCCTTCACTTCGTCTTACACGTCTACACACTTATACTGATTTTGATTCTTTAATTTAGTGCGAGGCGTGTATTGAGCAAAAACACGAGAGGCAAAATAAAAACTAAACTCAGTAAGGATTACGAATATTACATTTCACATACATATTACCTTAACAGACTTTGAACGGTACAATATATGTTTTGTATTTACCCTATGCCATAACTTAGCTGAACATTATTTGGACCGACAAAGGTTCAATTACAAAATGTACTTACCCGATGATTCATACAGAATATTGGGTTTCATGCCATCTGTTAAAACATAGAAAATAAATAAGCCAATATTAATAGAGCTTGTCTTGTTCACCTGTTGTTTTTATTATCTGAAACAAGAGCCTAAAACCGAGAATGTGTTAAAACAATTTAAGTTGTTTAAACTATATCTTTCCCGATCGATAGATAGTGGCACTATTGTGACCTTAAAATAAACCATGTGTTAGAGCGAAAACTGCCCAACATCCTGAGATCGCACCGATTAAATTCCTCTAGTCAAACAAAAGGCCTAGAGGGCTTGTATCGCTCACCTGGATATCTAAGCAATCATGTCGGAATATTCTCCAAATGAGATCCAAGGGAATATGCCAGACCCCAAGGCCAAACCTTGTAGCATATATCTGTATAAGATTTTTCATGCCCAGCAATTTAATGTATGGTTATGGGGTGGGGATCTCAACTGCTTCCAAGATGTGACTCAGAAACTAGGTCCCTAGGGTTGTGGCCAGACCCCAGGATCAATTCTAATATCATGACTGCATTTGTCTCTTTATGCCCAACAATTGTATATATAATTTTTTGGTGGGGATCTTAACCATTTCAAAGTTATGACCCAGGGGTTAAGTCTCCAAGGGTGGGGGAGACCCCAAGACCATCCTGGAAGCATATGTGCATTCATCTCCTTATACTCAGCAATTGCATATATGGTTATAGGGTGGGGATCTCAACTGTTTCCAAGCTGTGATTAAGAAACTAGGTCCCTAGGGGTTTGGTCAGACCCCAGGGTCTATTATTCTAATATCATTACTGCATTCGTCTCTTTATGCCCAGCATTTGTATATATAGTTTTGGGGTTGGGATCTCAACTGTTTTAAAGTTATGGCCCAGGGACTATGTCTCCAAGGGTGGGACCAGACCATAGGGCCATCCTGGAAGCAAATGTGCATTCTTCTCTTTATTCTCAGCAATTGTATATATGGTTATATGGTGGGAATCTCAACCATTTCCAAGTAATAAAACTTATTTTGGCCCCACCCCTTAGCACGGGGGGTCAGGTCAGCCCCACTATTTGTACAATTTTGAATCCCTGCTTCCCATGAATGCTTCCGACCAAATATGATCGATATCCATGGCATAGTTCTACAGAAGAAGTCATTTATAGCAATAGCTAAGCCAAATTGCCCCGTTTTGGCCCTGCCATCAGCCCCTTGGGGGGTCAGCCCCACCATTTGTACAATTTTGAATCTTCACCACCTAGGGATGCTTCCAGTCAAATATGGTTGATGTTCATCTCTTAGATCCAGAGAAGATGTCGCTGAAAGCAATATAGCCAAATAACCCTTTTTGGCCCCACCCCTCAGCCCTCTGGGGGGTCAGCCCCACCATTTGTACAATTTTGAATCCCCGCCACCTAGGGATGCTTTTGATTAAATATGATTGATATCCAGTGCACAGTTCTACAGAAGAAGTCATTTGTAGCAATATAGCCAAATTGCCCCCTTTTGGCCCCGCCCCTTAGCCCCCTGGGGAGTCAGCCCCACCATTTGTACAGTTTTAAATTCCCACCACCTCAGGATGCTTCCAGTCAAATATGGTTGATATCCATCTCTTAGTTCCAGAGAAGAAGTCGCTTAAATCAATAAAGCCAAATTGTCCCCTTTTAGCCCCACCCCTCAGCCCCCTGGAGGGTCAGCCCCACCATTTGTACAATTTTGAATCCCCACTACCTAGGGATGCTTCCAGTCAAATATGGTTGATATTCATCTCTTAGTTCCAGAGAAGTCGCTTAAAGCAATAAAGCCAAATTGTCCCCTTTTAGCCCCGCTCCTCAGCCCTCTGGGGGGTCAGCCCCACCATTTGTACAATTTTGAATCCCCACCACCTAGGGATGCTTCCAGTCAAATTTAGTGGTTAAAAAGAAGTCGTTTCAAGAAATTGTTGACGGACGCCACAGTATGGCATAAGCTCACCTTGGTCCTTCGGACCAGGTGAGCTAATAACAAATTAATTGATGCTTCAGTTGTTCGCTATCGTTGTTAAATGTATAGTGTATATCGGAAGGTCCTACATGTCTGTGACACACGTGTATATTCACTTTAAATTAACAGCATCTAGACAGTGTTTTGATTGTGTTTCCTTATCGAATGATACAGGTGAACGACTCTAGCCTATAATACATTCCAGCCCATCTTAAAAGTACTACCCACCACCACACCGTTTAGTATTTGAATCCTCTTGGTATTAATATTGAGAGACCAGCTATATATACTACTCACATTTTGCTAAGGATCAACTATATTCTGAAAAAAATTCAAATCAAAATGTTAGAAAGGATATTATATTTTCTTTCCGTACTGTTTTGGGTGAATATGTTAGCCTTCCAAATCGCCCTGTGTGGGTGTGCTCAGTCAACCATAAGATCTTGTGTACGCTTTTCCAAGTGTACATCATTTTCAAAAGCTAAGTAAGGCTAAGTAAGGTTGTTTAAATTGTTAAGGAAATCAATTTGATGAATATTCTTTGCATGTTTTTGTTTTAAAATGACACAAAGACGAACCAGACAACGGTTAAATGACGGTGAAATGAATAGGGGCATGGGAATACTGCAAGCTAGCTGGTCTCAACGTCAGGTTGCAGCAGACCATTGGGTGTCTCAAAGTGTGGTGGCAAGAATGTGGAATCGTTTCCAAACTAACGGAAACCCTTCCAGACGTCATGTAGGAGGTCATTCTCGGTCCACAACGCGTCACAGGTTCCAGACTACCACAGCTTTACAAAATGACCGCCTAAATACAGTTAGGAACCGTCTTCATGTTGCTGGTTTAAGGTCAAATAGACCAACAATACAAGTTCTCTGTACTGCCCGCCATGTAAGGGACTGATTAGATTGGGCCCAAGCTCAAAGCACTTGGACTCTTCAGGAATGGGAATCGGTTCTCTTTACAGACGAGTCCAGATTCTGTCTCGACTTCATCAACAGGCGCGTTAGAGTATGGAGACAACCTGGGGAGAGGTTACAAGCAGGTAACTTTGTGGAACATGACTGATATGGCGGAGGTTCAGTGATGGTGTGGGGAGGCATAAGCCTTCGTGGGAAAACTTACCTCCATGTCTTCTATAATGGTACTGTTACGGCCCGTAATTACTGCGATGAAATCCTTGATGCCTATGTCAGACCCTACGCTGGCGCTATCAGCCTTGACTTCATCGGTATGGACGATAATGCTAGGCCGCATAGATCAAGAGTGACTGTGCAGTATCTACAGCGAGAGACTATTCAACAAATGGATTGGTCAGCCCGCTCGCCGGATCTAAATGCCATCGATCATGTTTGGGACATGCTGCAGACAGCTCTCTCTCTCTCTCTCTCTCTCTGCCAGAAAAGTTCAGCCAAGAACGCTCGAGGAGCTGGGAATAACTTTGGTAGTTGAGTGGAACATATCCCACAAAACCGGATACGCGATCTCATTAGGGGCATGCACAGACGTTGTGAAGCTGTAATTGATGGTCATCACACTAAAACAGTTTCTGTTATTTAGGATGAGTATTGTTCAAATTAAGATTTTTAGTGAATACCTCGTTGTTACCAATTTTAAAGTTCCTGTTGCTCATTTTCCGACTGTTATTACAATTGTTGGAAATTTTGCATGCTGATGAATTTAAGGAACAATCAATTTTTAAAAATAATCTCAATATAAACCAAATAAAATATTTATTTTCACATAAGCCCAAAAATATAAGCGATCCTTAGCAAAATGTGAGTAGTATATATAGTTAACAACTTACACATATATGTTTGGCACATATATAGATATGAACGTTCAATTTTCCTGAAGTCGTACTGAACTATGGGTCAAGTTGTTCGTTTAAATACAGTCAAAGTTATCTTAGTATAGCAAAACAAAATGATCATTTATCTTTGGGGATGAAAATATTGATAATTCTGTGTATAAATGTACTTACATAGTAAGGGATTGTTTCATTTGTGCATTAACTATACATTATTTCTAAATTTATAACAAGCACAAATCCTGCTATGTCAAGAATCGTATCGCATCGGTTCCACATCGACTGCATTGTTTCGGCTATGTTCGGAACGAAATGTTTTCGCGGTACCGTTTCATTAATACGAACTAATAGGCATTTTCCCTGTATTACATTCAAGATAGTATAGTAGTAATACAAACGTATAACTATTAATCAGGCTAGTATTGACATGTAATATCTTTAACAAGTGATGTCTGATGCCACGCCATGGCAAAAGCGTACCTGGTTTTGGCTGCTAGATTACTATGGTTGCTTCTTCAAAAAGTTTAAAGACACAATTTCATATTCTAATGATATGTGAACAACTTCAAATTATTATTGTTTTGTGATAGTAATAATATAACAGACGGAAAATAAAACAAAATTATAAATTACCTGAACTATCATCTTCGACGGATCTGTAAAAAATAATAGTCACTACTTTTTAATATACAAACTTTTGTGATTTAATTCACGCAATCAAAATTGAATCCATAGAACAAAATTAGGTGTTTCGTGACTGTCAAAAACTAAGTCATTGGCATGAACATATCAATATTATTGTTATTCTTCAAACAGAACAAACTTGGGACCGCCTTTATTAATTTACTGATGCAACTACAATTTCTTTGACACCAGTTTTTACCATAATTGATAATGTAACTCATCACTTTATTTATTTAAAATCTATCTTTTGCACTTCAGAATGTATACATGAATGCTGACTGAACTAAACGAAAAAACAAAAAAAAAGCGCACCAAAATTACCAGGTCAAACACTCACCTTCTATCCCTTGGAATCATCTCAGTATCATCATCTGAAAAAAAATACTTAATTTTTAAAAAAAACACCATTTAAGTGTTTTTTGTTATTGAAATCTTTCTTTATCAAATCTTTCTGGTCAGCTTAAATTTGTAAGACAAAATAAGAAATATTGAGACACAAAACTGCATGGGGAACTATTTTGATCAAAACTAAACACGCTGCAGATAGTAAACAAGAGGCCCAGAGTGCCTGTATCGTTCACCTGAATATTTAAGCAGTCATAGCAAAATATTCTCATTAAATATTAAATTGCGCTACAAATATTTCCCTCGCAAACTTTGGCAGCTCCATCTGTTGAAACTACCAGCCAATGACATGACATAATTAAACTCACTTGCCCTTCGGTTATGGGGAGGGGATCTCAACTGTTTCCAAGGATCAATTTGAATATCATGACTGCATTTGTCTCTTTTTGTCCAGCATTTGTATTTAAAGTCTTGTGGTGGGGATCTTAACCATTTCAAAGTTATGACCCAGGGGTTAAGTCTCCAAGGGTGGGGGAGACCCCAAGGCCATCATGGAAGCATATGTGCATTCATCTTATCATACTCAGCAATTGTATATATGTATGGTTATAGGGTGGGGATCTCAACTGTTTCCAAGCTGTGACTAAGAAACTAGGTCCCTAGGGGTTCGGTCAGACCCCAGGGTCTATTCTAATACCATGACTACTTTTGTCTCTTTATGCCAAGCATTTGTATATCTAGTTCTGGGGTGAGGATCTCAACCGTTTCAAAGTTAAGACCACGGGACTATGTCTCAAAGGGTGGGGCCAGACCCTAGGCCATCCTGGAAGCAAATGTATATACATCTCTTTATATTCGACAATTGTATATATGGTTATAACTTGGGGATCTCAACCATTTCTATGTAATAAACTTTTTTTGGCTCCACCCCTTAGCACGGGGGGTGGGGGGGTCAGGCCCACCATTTGTAAATTTTGAATCCCTGCCTCCCATTTATATTTCATATCCATGGCATAATTATACAGAAGAAGTCTTTTATAGTAATATAGCCAAATTGACCCCTTTTGGCACCGCCGCTCAGCCCCTTGGGAGGTCAGCCCAACCATTTGTACAATTATGAATCCCAACCACCTAGGGATGCTACCAGTCAAATATGGTTGATATCCAGTGCATAGTTCTACAGAAGCCGTTTGTAGCAATACAGCCAAATTGACCCCTATTTCCCCCCCCCCCCCCCTTAGATCCCTGGGGGGTCAGCCCAACCATTTGTACACTTTGAATCTCCACCACCTAGGGATGCTTCCAGTCAAATATAGTTCATATCCAGTGCATAGTTCTACAGAAGAAGTTGTTTGTAGCAATACGGCCATATTGCCCACTTTTAGCCATACCCCTCAGACCCCTGGGGGCCAGACCCCGGTTTATACAAAATTGGTTCCCCTTCACCAAAGGATGCTTCAGACCAAATATGGAAAAAAATCCTTTCATTCCTACAGAATAAGACGGGTTTTAAAGAATTTGCTATGTTTCCCATATTTGGCCCTACCTCTCAGGCCCCTTGGGGGCCTGACCCCGGTTTATACAAAATTGGTTCCCCTTCACAAAAAGATGCCTCAGACAAAATATGGAGCAAATCCTTTCATTCCCACATAAGAAGATGGATTTTAAAGAATTTGCTATATTTCCCCTATTGGGCCCCGCTGCTCAGGCCCGTGTGGGGCCAGACCCACGGTTTATACAAAATGTGTTCCCCTTTACCCAAGAATGCTTCAGACCAAATATGGAACAAATCCTTTCATTCGTACAGAAGAATAAGGATTTTAAAGAATTTACTATGTGTTCCCATTGGGCCCGCCCCTCAGGCCCCTTGGGGGCCAGACCCACGGTTGATACAAAATGGCTTCCCCTTTACCCAAGGATGCTTCAGACCAAATATGGAACAAATCCTTCATTCCTTCAGAAGAAGAAGGATCTTAAATATTTGCTATATTTCCAATACAGGGCCCCGCCCCTGAAGCCCCTGGGGGCAAGACCCACGGTTTATACAAAACTTGTTCCCCTTCCCCTAAGGATGTTGCTGACTAAATTTAGTCAAATTATGCTCAGTCGTTTATGACAAGTAGCGATTTTTAAGGAAAAGTTGACGGATGACGGACGCCGGACGCGCCATGGCATAACCTCACTTGCCCTTCGGACAGATGAGCTAAAAATGAAGCATCAATCTGATGGAAAATGTCATTTTTGTACAAATACAGATTCCCTATGTCATCTGTTTTGCAATTGTAATTGTGTTTATATTATTACATGTAGAACTTCCTTTATCTGATGATCTTCTGTGGAAATGTTTATTATTTGACATCATTAGAAATGAAGAGAAAAATTACCTTGGGGATTATGAAGATGACCAAAACTATTTATTTTACACCTTAACAATAACTATAAAATATACAATTTGGAATGTTTGAAATGTAGTGAAATACCAAAACAAAAAACAAAATCTGCCTTTGCAATATTTAAAACAAGAGGCCCAATGGGCCTGCATCACTCACCTGGTAAAAATCTCACACTTGTAATATTAAAGTGGACTAAAATACAGCTACAGGCAGAATATCAGTCTTTGATTCAAAAGAACCTATCAAAAGATTGAAACATATGATGCCTGTGACCTTGAATGTAGAACAAGGACATTAGGTTGAAAGTGGGTCGAGGTCATTCATTTGAACAAACATGGTTGTCCTATTCAAGTATGCTAAAGGCCCAATATCAGTACCCTGGGCTTTTTAGTTATTGAGAAGAAGTGGTTTGAAAATTTTACGACATTTGACCCGTAATCTTGAAAGTGGGTCGAGGTCATTCATTTGAACAAACTTGGTAGCCCTTCATCCTAGCATGCTACAGGTCCAATATCAGTAGCCTGGGCCTTTTGGTTACGGAGAAGAAGTGGTTTGAAGATTTTAGGACATCTGACCCAAGTGACCTTGAAATTGGTTCAAGGTCATTCATTTGAACAAACTTGGTAGCCCTTCATGCCAGCATGCTACAGGCCCAATATCAGTACCCTGGGCCTTTTGGTTATTGAGAAGAAGTTGTTTGAAGACTTTAACATATTTGACCCATGTGACCTTAAAAGTTGGTCACAGTCATTCATTTGAACAAACTTGGTAGCCCTTCATTCCAGCATGCTATAGGCCCAATATCAGTACCCTGGGCCTTTTAGTAACTGAAAAGAAGTTGTTTAAAGATTTTAACAAATTTGACCATGTGACCTTGAAAGTTGGTCAGGGTCATTCATTTGAACAAACTTTGTAGCCCTTTAACCCAGCATGCTACAGAATCAATATCAGTACCATGGGTCTTTTAATTATTCAGAGGAAGTTGTTTAAAAGATTTATATAGACATTTGAACCATGTGACCTTGAAAGAGGGTCAAGGTCATTCATTTGAACAAACATGGTAGCTCTTCATCCCAGCATGCTATAGGCCCAAAATCAGTACCCTGGGCTCATTAATCCCTCTTATATCGAATGGTTAAAAGTGAGGTATTTAAACAAGAGGCCCAATGGGCCTGCATCACTCACCTGGTATAAATCTCACACTTGTAACCTTAAAAGTGATCTAAAATAAAGCTAAAGGCAAAATAAAATATCAGTATTTATGATTAAAAAAAATTCAAAAGAACCTGGTTTTTTTTTTAACATTTCACCCCTGTGATTGAAAGTCGAGAAAAGTCATTATTGTATAGCCTTTCATCTCAGGATGCAACATGCAAAGTATCAACATCCTGGGACCCATGGTTATTCAGAAGAGGTTGTTTAAAGATTTTAAACAAATTTGACCCCTGCGACCTTGAATATAAGTCAAAGTCATTCACTTTAACAAACATAGTAGTCCTTGATCCCAGCATGCTAATAACTAAATATCAACATCCTGAGCCTTTTTGTTATTCAGAATAAGTTGTTTATAATTATTTATATATTTTGAACATATCTGCTCCTTGTGACCTTGAATATGATTCAAAGTCGTACATTTAAACAAACTTGGTAGCCCTTGATCCTAGTATGCTACTGACTAAATATCATCACCCTGGGCATTTTTGGTTATTCAAAAGAAGTTGTTCAAAGTTTTTAACATATTTGACCCCTGTGACCTTGAATATGGGTGAAGGTCATTCATTTGAACACATTTTGTAGCCCTTCATCTTAGCATGCTACTGGCCAAATATCATAACCCTGTGCATTTTGGTTATTCAGAAGAAGTTATTTAATGTTTTTCATATATTTGACCCCTTTGACCTTGAATATAGGTGAAGGTCAGTCATTTGAACAAACTTGATAGCCCTTTACCCCAACATGCTACTGGCCAAATATCATCACCCTGGGCATTTTGGTTATTGAGAAGAAGTTGTTTCAAGATTTTAACACATTTGACCCATGTGACCTTGAATATAAGTGAAGGTCATTCATTTGACCACAATTTGTAGCCCTTCATCTCAGCATGCTACTGGCCAAATATCATCATCCTGGGCATTTTGGTTATTGAGAAGAAGTTGTTTAAAGATTTTAACATATTTGACCCCTGTGACCTTGAATATAATTGAAGGTCTTTCATTTGAATAAACTTGGTAGCCCTTTACACAAGCATGCTACTGGCCAAATATCATCTCTATGGGCAGTTTGGTTATGGAGAAGAAGATGTTTAAAGTTTTTAACATATTTGACCCCTGTGACCTTGAAAATGGGTGAAGGTTATTAATATTAACAAATTTTGTAGCCCTTCATCCCAGTTTGCTTCTGACCAAATATCATCACCCTAGGCCTTTTGATTATTAAGAAGAAGTCGGTTGTTGTTTTTTAAGACAATTGACGTCACCCTGTGGCCTTGAAAATAGGTGAAGGTCATAAATTTTAACAAACTTTGTAGCCCTTCATCCCAGTTTGCTGCTGGCCAAATATCATCACCCTAGACCTTTTGGTTATTAATAAGAAGTCGTTTAAAGTGAAATATTGACGCCGGACGGATGTATGGATGACGGACGGATGGACAACGGACGCCACGCCATGCCATAGGCTCACTTGGCACTTTGTGCCAGGTGAGCTAAAAAAATCACCATAGCCCATACTATCAGCAAGTTACAGGCCTAAAATTGTGAGTGTAGAAATGTATTTGTCCACAGGAGGAAAATGACAAAGGAAGGTCCAGATAGGGGACACATTTAAAATATCATCTACTGTATTTTACCTCTTGTGCTTTTTCCAGATGTCTTTCTCCTCGCTTTAATGATGACAACTATAACAACTATAACAATGATAGCAACCACACATCCACCCACTCCGCCAAGTATTGCTCCTAAAGGAGAGTTCTCAGGGGAGGATTCTGTAACTGATTCAAGATATAGACAAAAAATGTACGTTAAATAAGTAAAACAAATGCAGGTCAAAAATTGAAAATCAAGTTGCTTCACAATAAAGAGCAAATTCATTAAAATATGTTCTTTTTAAGGCTGATTTTTTTATTTAATTTTCATAACGTAAATGTATATTGAAGCGGAAATGCTCCTAGTCACCTTTTGTAGTGCAGTTTACGTCCTTTTTAAATGTTGAGTTCCCAAAATTGTTCACAGCATATACTGTGAAAAAATGCTGTGTACCAGGCGTCAGCCCAAATACTGTTATATTGATGATTTGGTGCTGCCCCGGGTCCAGGATTTTTGGGGGGGTTTGATCAATAACAAAGTGGTCCTTTTCACTTTGCCTTCTTCCAACAGCGAATGTCTGGTCATCTCCCCCGTTGAATGCCGATCTCCAGCTTAAGATGGCACTATTTGTATTTGGACATACAGCTGAACCTTCATACGGGGGGTTTGGTTTTCCTGACAAAATACCAAATTGGAGGTGCTTATAGGAAACATTTAGATGGATAGGAAATTCTTTTCATAATTTGGATTAAGCTTCCTATCTATATAGGATTACAATGTTCAGCAAAAAGTGTATTGAACTAGAACACTGACAGGTCAGTGAGGGCCCCGTCTTGTGGCAATATATCCCCCATTATCATCAAGGAGCAATCTGCCCATATAGCTGAGCTTGACGTTTGACATTTGGACTCGCAAGGAAGCAAAATATACATTTTACATGTACTATGATGCGAGTCTTGTTTCCTTCCACCTACATATTTGCTGGGCTAACAGAAATGTAAATACCGGTGCAATACTCATTTGTTAGCTTTGATTTGTTTTATTTCACCTTATATATACCTCCTACATCAAGAGCCAGAGTCAAAGTCAGAGATCCACTTTGTCATTGACCTTTTGACCCAAATGGCCTTGACCATTAACCTAGTGACCCTGAACTTTGGTCAGTTGACTTATTCTTTAATTCCAACCAACTTTACTTCTTGATATCATAACAAAATGTTCATCAGTGAAAAATACAAAACTTGACCTTGACCCTTTGGACCCCATTACCTGGACTTAAGGTCAGTTGACTCTGTATTAAGTTCTGAACAACATTGCTTCATAATGTCATAACAAAATGTTCATCAGGGAAAAGGTACAAAATTTAACCTCGACCTTTGACCCAATGACCTTGACCTTTGGTCAGTTGACTTCTTGTTTAATTCTGATCAACTTTGCTTCATCATGTCATAACAAAATGTTTATCAGTGAAAAGATGCAAATTTGACATTGACCTTTGAAGTTAATGACCTTGACCTTTGACCTCAACTTTTTACCTCAGTGTTTCTCTTTGTTTGATTCCGAACAACATTGCTTCATAATGTCATAGTGAAATGTTCACAAAAGAAAAGCTACAAAATTTGACCTTAACCCCTGACCCGATGACCTTGACCTTTGGTCAGTTTACTCCGAGTTTAATTCTGGTCAACATTGCTTCTTAATATCATTACAAAATGTTCATCAGTGAAAAGATGCAAATTTGACCTTGACCTTTGAATCTAACAACCTTGACCTTTGACCTCGACTTCTTACCTCAGTGTGTTTCTTTGTTTAATTCCGAACAATTTTGCTTCATAATGTCATTGGAAAATGTTCACCAGTGAAAAGCTACAAAATTTGACCTTGACCCCTAACCCGGTGACCTTGACCTTTAGACAGTTGACTCCTTGTTTAATTCTTATCAACTTTGCTTCATGATGTCATAACAAAATATTCATCAGTGAAAAGATTTAAAATTTGACCTCAACCTTTGACCTTGATTTTTTACCTCAATGTGTATTTTTGTGTACTGAACATCTTGATCAAGTTTCATGTTCATCGGTCAATAAATACCAAAGTTATCAGCCAGGAACAGAATTTGTGGAGGGACAGACAGACAGGCAGACAGACAGGCAGACAGATTACTATAGGGCACCCGTATCTCCGATACAGGGCCCTAATAAAACATCACAAACTTAATATATTGAAAAGTGATAAAAAGACAACCACTTTACCTGAAATGAAAAATATTTAGAAATCAGTAAAAGTGACCTTAAGTTATGGTGGAAACAAACGTTCACATTCATATGTAAGCGCACTTGGAAAAAGGCTCATGGTTTATTTATAGTTTGTAAAGAAACAAAAATAAAGGTAATGGATAAAAATTAATGAACCTGTAAAGGCTAGAAGAAACTTGCATTTGTCTATTTGAACGAGTATCAATCAGTTTGATGATCAGTGGAATAGAAAATATTTATAGGTTCCTTAGTTTCATGTGCACGACACAATTTCTCTCCATGGCTTAAATTACATTTTGGGCAAAATGCATGACATTACATGCGAATAATAAAAACAATTTCAAGAACGGAGGAAAGACCTAAGCTTCAAACAACGTAAAAACTACATATCCCAAATCATTTTTCATGTTTTCGTCTTTTGCCAAAAAATATAAAAAATCAGGATTTGATTATGTAAATACATATTAAATTAAGACAGAACGTCTAGCCATCAGGACTGCTTTCACAATGTCAATTTGCATGTGTTGATAAAATTGATACCGCATGTTTAAAGCATATTTTAAAAAAGATATTTTAATATGAAGTATATGAGTGATCTTCCTCAACACATACTACGCCTGCACTAGATATGGTTCTATATACACTATCAGCACACAACAAAAACGCCAAGAGAAAAACAAGGCAAAGCGACTGGAACATACTCAAAATGAAGGTTTTGTGCTAAAATTATTGATTTACCTGTAGCAGCAACTGTGAAAGTGAGTGTCCCTTTGCCCTCACTGTTGATTGCCGTTACATTATATAATCCAAACCAGGCCTCTTGCATGTTCGTACGTGTCCCCATTGACAAAGCTGACAGGTTCGATGTAAAAGGTGTATTATGTATAACAAAGTTGTCTGTCCCGTTGTTTAGCTCAGTAAAAGAACTATTTGAAGAGTTTTGGAAAGTCCATATGAATGATGAGGGTTCCGGGTTTGACAGAAACATGGCATTCATAGTTAGATTATCATGAGTAGCCAACCCCATCTTTTGGTCTGTGAACACTCTCGGATCAAGGCGCGGCGAACCTAGATGGGATGGAATTTAAAAAAAGACACAAAATAAGACTATGTATTGCTCTAGTATCCCACACATGTAGACACACACACACACACATATATATATATATATATATAGACACGCATACTACCACAAATCAACTCACATACATGCAAATATGATTTAATATATAATTAGTGCCATTAAGATAGTATAATGATAAGGAAACTTTTTTTTTTTGTGAATATACCTTGACGTCAAACGATTCCGTGGAGCTACTACCAACCTAAACTTGTCATAATGATTCTATTTGAGAACTTTCAATTTCATTTAGAAAGCTTTTACATTTGTATTGATCAATTTATAAAATGGATTTAGTTCTGATATTTCTTTCATTTCTAAAAAGTGTGGACGAAAATATAACACCTTGTATTCACTGTTTTCTTTACCGTAATATTAGTTACACGGATTTTTGACAGGGTATACGGGATAGTATGACCCTAAGGGTTTCGTATTTCCTGAGGCCGATAGTTCAAAGAAAATATGAAATCCTGTAGGGTCATCCCATCCTGTATACCCTGCCAAAAATCTGTGCAACAAATTTATTACCCCTTTGAGTCCTTTTGGCGAGTATTTCCTCATCAGTATGCGAAGCGAAACGTTTTGCCATTTTGTAAACAGCGAAGCAGACGACGAATGTGAGTTGTCTCCTGTTGCCGCAAGATACAAAGACACATGACCCGTATACCCCTTGTAAAATCACGTGATTCCACCGTATTACTGCCGAGAATCACGTGACATGACCGTAAACCCCCTGAGATTTTTGTATACCCCCTGAGATTTACGAATGCGGTTTGGTACACTGTAGTTTTTAACCAATCAGATTCCTAGATTTTTCTCAAAGGGGTAATATTAGTAACGTTATGAAGCTAATGGTGTGCTTTTATTGACATAATGAACCGTGTTAGCTACACTTAATTATGTTTTCGAGTTTGCGGTCGGGTTCAGTCGACCTAATGGAGCGTACAGCTTACAATAGAGTGCGTTATCAAGCTTACAGGGTCCTTTGGTATGAAACCAGCTGGCGACGTGTTCTTTACGGTCTTAAACTTGTTCAGACTCTTTACATTACGTTGTCAAACTAACGGCGTTTTCTTTAACGACGTTGTTAACATAACAGCTTACCTTGGAGTACGCCATTTACATGACAACGTGTTTTACCGACGTTATCATCATTCAGGTAAATTCACAATTAGCATTTCAACATATTTTGCACCAAGACATTTAAGTAAAGTTTGAATTAATTCCCTTCTGAACAAATCGTGATTACGTTGTTTCTTCTTACGTGATTAGTTACAAAGCGAAAACAATAGTGCAGGGTTCTCGTCAGCGGTCGCCAATAGCACCAAATTCAAAAATGATAATATTTTGACAATATTAAAATAGTTCTGGCAACTTTTTGGCGCAAAACAATGCCAGTTGTTCTGTCAATATCTTACAAAAATGTGCCCTGTGTCAGTATATAGCTGTAACATAGGTAAAAGTGACCATCTAGCTGCCACATCCTGGTGAATTCACTGCCCAATTAATTAATTAGTGTTTCACTATTGTTTCAATCACTAATTCCATCTGAATGGTACGCCTATAGGCACACTGTGTACGGAGCAAACAATATGTGACCAGCAGTGGTCAGGATCGAGTCCTTCCCAGACTAAAAAATGATACATTGAGGCATGTCTAAAATGTACCTCTACTTACGGGGTATTTTTAAAGTATTTCTCAAATGTGCCCCATTTGGACTCTAATTTTATCAATGTGGCACCCACTTCGAAAATTTTAGAAGTTTTGAGGCAAGTTTTAAATGTTTTTGACTACACAGGTCTCTATGCATCCGTTTGGAGTTTGGGGTGTAATACAATAACAGTTTAACGTTTTAAATGTTGGTAGGCCCTATTGTTTTCAAAATTTCGGCGTGCTGATAATCGTCAAAACTTTTTTAAGTGATATTATTTTAACGTTTTAGGGTAGTTCAACGTTTTGAAATTAATTCTTACTACAAACATATAGGCCTACACCTATAAAATAGTATGTGTGTGAAATAATGTTATATTAAATGTTAAAATTACTTGTTTTCTTTCACATTTTACTTTGGCTTTTGGTTTATGATTTTGGATTTTTCTCAATTGACTCCATCGAAATATTGTTCCTTATATTTAAATGACATTTTTTTTTTCTTTTTCTTCAAAATTGCAGGTTCAATTAATTGCAGATCATCACAGATTTTCTTCTGATATATTATTCCAATAATAACAGCAGACCTGTACCTTGCTTAGTTATTTTCATCATGTTACATCATAATCTAATTTTCATACAGTCTATGTACACTTAAACTTTCAAGATTTTCTTTTTATCATATATTTTCAATATTTTATTTTATGATCATTATGGACTGTCTGTATCAATCAGAAAAAAAGGAAAGGAAAAAAAGTCTTCTTGAACATTTTAGCCTGATAAAATATATTTTTTAGTTTAAAAATATTTTATAAATATGATTGATTAGTCAGTAGGATTTTGAAACTTATAGATGACTTCTCAAAATAGGTCACGTGATGGCATGAAAAGATGATATACATTAAGAAACAAACAAATTGATGAACTATGTCACAGTGAAATCGAGGATTCGGGGAGGGGGAGAGAAAGGGGGGGGAGGGTATAAATAGAGAACAGAGATTTAATCAAATCTTCCTGACTTACCTAAATAAAATATAGTTTTGTTATATATGTCTATACACATTGAAAAATCTTAAAAGGTTTTTGTTGGTAATCAAAATCAACAAAGTGAAGTACAAAAGTTGATATTATTCACATAAAAAGTCAGACTTAACTTGTTAGTATTCAGACTGAAAGGATTTCCCAGGATACGTGAGATTTCTTCTAGGGTCTAGTAAAAAAAAAAGTTCTCTTCATCCTTTAATTTCCCTGGCGCAAAACGCCTCGGACGCTCGACCCCCTGTTATAGCATACACTCCGAAAATTGATTTGTTTTGCCAGTGTCTTCATTTTTTCAGTACATATTTTATAACAAATAAAGAAATTATTTTATTTTGGTTTACCATATGGGAAATCTTGTTAACCTCTCTATTCATTATTGGTATGAAATATTATCATTCTTTCACTTTAAGTTCAAGATGTTTCTTGATTGTTAATCGTAGGATGTAAATCAAACATAACATCTTGTACCGGATTCAGTGGTGTTGTTGCTCATCATTTCTACTTTCATTTGCTCTGTTAATCAAATAGTTTGATTATGTGAAACAGCAGGATATATACTTATTTCTTGATTTTCTTTCACTTAGACCCTTCAGATGCTGAAGGACCTTCATTAAACCAACAGAAAGATATGGACGTCACAGATGGTAATTTTCATTTAATTTTTGGTCACCAGCTCATGCAAAGGGGATATGTGGTCGTACATATCCTAGCAATATTATCTTAGCACATACAAACTAAATTCTGGGTCTGCAGCTGAACACTTTCAATGTTATGAGCCCTGATCTTTTTTCTTTACCTTTCTAAACATTATGGCCAATTGCATTATCCTAGATTTAGGGTGTGTAGGCCTCTCATTGTTCCTACACATATTTACTTCAGACGTATTCAAAATACTTAACTGATACTTGCATTTGTAACAAAGAGGTGATGTTCCCTCCCTTCATTATAGAGTTATGTCCCCTTGTTTGACTTGTTCACACTATTCCTCTCAAAGTACTGCACCAATATACTTAATAAGCATTTCATTCTAACTGACGATTTGTGAATTATATATAAAGTCAACTCCCATATTAATAGAAATATTTTTCCTTTTGTTTAAAAAATAGATTCACTACTCTTTCCACATTACTTCACCAATTTAAGTGATACCTTTTATACAATACAGAATATAAATCGGAGGTCCTCTCCCAATTATAGAGTTATGTCCCTTTGTTTAAAAACTGTTTGTATTACTCCCGAGGTACAATGAAAATGAGACCGGTGTTCCGCCATATATATATTTAGGCATGGCCTTTATTTCAGTTTTCATACCAAAATTTATTTAAGTGCTGTTGATCTGATAGCTTCAATTTTAAACCTTGTTGTGTATATTATATATCTAGATGTATGTATAATTACTTAATTTATTCAAACCTGACAAGCAATTCATAAACTATTACATTTTCCTTTACTTTGTTACCGAGTTAACTTGATCATTAATATTTTTCAGTATAATCCCTCCTGAATTGCCAGAAGATTGTGACCCTATCCGCCACCATCAGAAGCTTAATGAGGACAGTTACAGTACTTGCTGACTTAAGTTGGGCATTTATGTCTCATAATAAACTTTCATGGTCTTTTATAAATTATTCAATAAATGATGTGATATTGTGCTTATATATATATATATGCCCGATTATTTTTGACACATGCACATCATCACATGTTCATATTCAATTCTTTCTTCTTTACAAAAGTCCCAGAGACAACAAATGATTGAACTTCAATACTTTGTGGGAGGGTAGGTTGTTTACTTCTCACATTTGTATTACTTTGTTAAGTATACTTGTTGTTTATGATTTAGAGACAGGGCTCTGTTACTCTCTGTGTTATTAACCCTTATGTAGGGTAGGGCTTTTCGTTCAGTGTAGGATTCCTGGCGATCAGCTGCTACGATACCGGTGCTGAAATCTGTGTGTTTACACTTTTGAGACGGCCGGAAGTGGGTGATAGTAATAACAGGAATAGGTTCCCGCTCCTTGCTCACATGCTTTTAGATGATGAGGCTGGGTTCGAGATTAACAGTTGATCACTCATCTTCGAGGCTATTTGGTGGGGGGAGCAGGGGGTATAAAACAGCGGGTCCGGGCGGGGATCAGTGTCTTGACAGGGTCGGTGAGCCGACCCACTTCTCCTGGTGAGGAGAACATTACCGCCTCATGCGCTGTTAACAGTGCAAAACATGGGCCGAGGTGCTGCTAACAGTACCAATACCGTAGGACTACATGAAGTTATCGTTCCTGGGATATATAGAGTGCTATAGGAACTACAGTACATGTATTAAGGGATAGTCAGGGGCTTTGGGCTTAGGCATCGATACATGGTGGTTCGCTGTAGATCTATAGGGAGCTAGGAGCACGTGGTCGTAGTCTACTGGTAGTACTGTTAGGTAGGATAGGTCATTACTCTACGTAGGGATTGGGTTTCTTAACATTAGTTGTCATTGTTTGGCACTAATGCTATGCTTTGTATTTGTTAAACTTGTTGTACATATTCATTCCGTCTTGTTAATAAACAGTTACTTGTATTTTAAACACCTTGTTGAGTTATTGAATCAATGGCTGGTATTACCACTACATCCAGCGTTCGAACCTGTAGTGAAAACAGGTCTGTAACCTGACGAAAGAGGCGAGGTCTAGAGTGGACTGCAGGGGAAGTTGTCGACTCGTTACCATTGCTAAAAACTATACGATCACAAAACGGATTTAACGGAGTGACAACGGATGCCAAACCCTCTCCGGACCTCCCCCCTATTACAGAATGGTGCCGTGACCTGGATGTAGTTGTGTAAGTACTGATGCATGATGCATGATCACTTGGTTGTTTTAAGGAAAATATCAGTTGTATTTTATATACAAGTTTTATTGGTTATAATTTGTATTTGTGACGTTGTAGATACTCTATTGAAAGATATTCAAGGCCTCTAACAATAGACTGTCTACTAGAGTTTACAAGTTTTTAGGTTGATATTTTTGTTGTTGTTGCACTTTTTTTTTAATAGAGATCTACCAATATAAATATGGATGAAAATAGTGATACTGAATTAGTCTCTGATCGGGATTATGATAGCACAGAGGGAGATACAGAGGGGCATGGTAGTGTATAAGTTCCATGTTCGTCACCCGGAGATAGACAAAAGGTGTCAGGGGTAGAAACTATCCCACTAACACCTACAACCTTTTCACCTAGAGATAGATTTTTGGGTCAGAGTAGGGCTAGGGTTTCTCGGAGAGAAAAGCAACCCGATACCTTTAATGGATCAAGTAGTGATTGGCAGGACTACATAGTACATTTTGAGCAGGTTTCTACATGGAATGGGTGGACAGAAACTGAGAGAGCTCAGCAATTAAGTATGAGTCTTCGGGGAACTGCTCAGAAGGCTCGACAGCCCCACCATTTGTACAATTTTGAATCCCCACCACCTAGGGATGCTTCAAATTTAGTTTAATTCCAACCAGTGGTTAAGAAGAAGTCCTTTAAAGGAATTGTTGACGAACGGACATACGGACGACGGACAGACGATGGACGCAACGGTATGGCATAAGCTCAAAATGATTTAATCATTTTGAGTAAATTCACCGAAAACTGCAATACTATTGCCATAAAACGGAAAACACTCCCAGTATCTTCCTCGAAATAAGCACTGATGTAATATGTTATGTCGGGAAAACCATTTCAATTATGTATTTGTCCTGTTTACTTTTAAAGAAGCACTGGTGAGCTTGACACCTGGTCGAGAGATACGGTCGTAACATCTGATTATCGAGATCTGAATGGTCGAGAAGAGACGTTTGTCGATTTTTATTGAAAGGAACACATAGTTATAGATTTTGAATGGATAATAGAAGTTCATTGAGTTTTGAACTTGCTTCAGAGTAAATTATTAACCTGGCAACGTGGTTTTAACGACTTTATCAACCTTTGCCTATTTCACTGACATTAGTTTCTTTATTCGCGGACAGGATATATGGTCATGACTTAGAGCTTAGGACTCTCAATCTGGAGACAAGAAGCAGAAGGTAACGGAAAGATAAGCCATTTTTATTTTTTCAAAAAAGACTATTCATTTTAACGAAAAACTTGCCTATGTTATTTAAAACATATTTGACCTACGGCGAAACAATATTATCTGTGATTGAATCAACTAAAATAGATGTGCCGCTATATTTCGATGGAAATAAGATATTAATCGCCGTTTGTATTATGTGCGTGTATCAGTTGCTTACTTTTTCGATCATATAATCTATTGGTTCTAGCTTAAGATTGGCGGTCATCGTGTTTGCTCAAGTGATTATGAAACGCTGCAAAAAAAGTTTATTTCAAGCATAATGTCGACATGGGGTATTCTCAGTAAGAAAAAAAATACATATAAGCAATGACTCAAGAATAATCATCAATTCGGTCAGATATTAATTTCGTGGTTTTTGAATCAATAAAGAAAATACAACATACACAAAACGTTGATCCTTATATCCTTGGTCACTGCTGTGTTAGATACACTGTTCCTAGCAGAACATGTGTACAATCCTGTGTCCAGACAGCCAGCTGTAGTCAGGGTGTAGTTACTCTCCAGTACATCTGTGGCGGTAAACAGTTTTGTGCCATTGTTTTTGTAGTACCATGTTATTGTAGACGATGGGACACTCTCCACCTTACAAATGAGAGTCTTGGATCCGTGTTCCGTCACATCAGCGTCACCTTGGTTGTACTCAAGGCTGTCTATTTCAGGAGGAACTGAAATATAGAATAACTAATTATGTAACTATGCATTATCAATAAAGTTTTGTTTTGAATTTGAACATTTGGCGATCAAGAATTTTATCCAGTGTAAATCAACTTTGATATGAATAGGAGCTGAATCATTACTCAAATTCTGGTTTATAATTTATAACGTGATTTCGAGATCATAGAAACAAAATGTACGATTCACCTCAAGAGGAAGAAACATACCCGGCTGACAAAATAATTTGTTCATATTTTTTTTATAAACAAGAGGCCCAAGAGGGCCTGTATCGCTCACCTGAATATTTAAGCAGTCATAGCAAAATATTCTCATTAAATATTATATTGCACTAAAAATATTTCCCTCGAAAACTTTGTTGGCTCCATCTGTTGAAACTACCAGCAAAATATTATTATAAGATTCTATGCTTTTTTATTCTTCTTCAGAAGTTGCTTGACATATTTTTCCCTGTGATCTTGTAAGTAGGTCAATGTCATTTTCCTTCTCAAATTGGTTAGCTCTATTCCAAAAAGTTACCAGCCAAATCTTATGAATCCATTCCTTTTAGTTCTCAAGAACAAATCCATTAAAATGTTGTTGACCTCTGTGACCTCTAAAGTAGGTTGAGGTCATTTTCATTTGCAAACTTTGGTGAGCTCTATCCCGGGAAGTCACCAGCCAAATATTATAATTTTATGCCTTTTAATTCTTCAGAAGAAGCTGTTTGAACTGTTTGACATATTTGAACGCTATGACCTTGAAAGTAGGTCAAGGTCATTTTCATTCGCAAACTTTGTTTGGCTCTTTCCCAGGAAGCCACCTGCCAAATATTAAGATTTTATAACTACCAGTTCTTCAGAAGAAGTCGTTTAAAATGTTTGACATATCTGCCTCATGTGACCTTAAAAGAAGGTCAAGGTCATTTTCATTCTCACTGCTTACTTACACTGTACTGTAACGATAACACTTGTAGTTGACTCCCCGGCAATATTTCTAGCAGTGCATCTGTAAGTCCCGTGTTGTGACCTGTCCAGTTGTCCCAGTGACAACACAGCGGAGGCAGTCAAGTTGGTGTTGTCAGGTTTGGTCCAGACAAAGGTACAGCCAGGTTTACAGTCAGCTGTACAGGTGATGTTCGGTAACGTGTCCCCCTCAGTCCAGGTGTAAGTAGTGTCCGGTGGTGAAATTGAAGTAGAAGTTCCAGGACCGTCTACAAGTTAAACACATACACATTGCAAACTGACTAGAAGTTTCGTATTGTGTGGTATTTCAAATGTCAAAATAGTATCCATGATCGCAGGAGTATCATACATAGCAGGTGCATTCCTAAAAAACTTAGCTATTGCACATTACAATGCATATTCAATACAAACACTGTTACATATGAGGGTCAATACTATATTGTTGTATCGGCAACATTGTCAGTCATGAACTTATAATTAGCCATCACCTGATTTTGTCCTGTGTTATCTCAATGTTTTTATATATCTTAAGTGTATTTCTACACAATGAAGACTTATCTTAAAAAAGAAAAATTATATTTGGCTTTAAATTATAATCGTTTGTGACCAGTGCGATGTATTTCATGTAACCTCAAATGATCGTTACTGATATTTCAAAGAGAAGCGTTATTTTTGTTCAAAGGATAAACATACATGGATCCAGTGAAAAATAAATGTTCCACCTAAATGTGGGTAATCGGGGGAAGTGCTTTCATCTTCAACAATTAACCGTTACGATTTCAAACCATTTTGTTTGAAACAAAAACTCAATGGAATCAAAAGATAAAATGTATCAGTTAATATATTGAATTGCTTTGCTTTTCACTCTAATGCTTCTATATGTTTGTGAACATTTTTCTTGTACAATATCAAATCTACGTTTTCCTGCAAAATTGACTTATTTTGAGTTTAAAATGAATATGTTACATATGTAGCTTTCCGGTTAACGGCGTCGTATTACGGCTATCCACTGGTTGAGGTAATAAGAATATATTCCTCTGAAAGAAATTCTAGTGTAAATCATGAGCAGTCATTTGATACACATACTTGTCAAGTCAGAGTAACACCACATTGCAAAGATTTATAATGAGACTAGTTATATCACTATATATATAGTATATTGTAAACTAATAAAGAAATAATTAAATAAATTATATTTTTGTATGTCTCTAAGCAATGAAAAATTCACACTATTTTATTCCTATGCTAATAAGATTGATGACAAGTTCTTTCACATTTTTTTTTTTCATTTTTCATATTCACAGAGTTATCACAAGACAGTAATTTCTCTGTTATGAATACATACACTTTACAGTAACACTGACGTCACTAGAGGTCCGACTCCCGTAACCGTTACTGGCCGTACACCTGTACACGCCCGTTTGACCACGTTGTATGTTGGTGAGCTGGAGATCTGACCCTGTTGTGTGGGACTGTCCATCCTTTGTCCAGCTGTAGGTACAGACTGGGTTACAGTCAGACGAACACGTGACGGTAGGGAGAGTCTGTCCTTCTGTTAAAGTGTAGGATGTAGTTGGTGGTGACAACCCCACACTGGAAGGACCGTCTAAATCAATAAACGAACCAATATAAACTTATACCGTACTAGAAATTTGATTTTGTTGTCCTGTTTATTCTTTCTTGTGGAATAATGTTAAATCTCATTCTACATGGTAATTTTTATACATACAAATTAATCTTTCTATCTCAAACATGTTTTGCTGTAAATCTGAATCAAACAAACTCTATTGCTTCTAGACATTTGAAAACTTAAACTGAACTATTTGAACTATTCTGTAGCAATATATATTATTTTGAAAATGCATAAGAAAATTATTTCTTATTTATACTTCTTACTGTGTAGTTCTTGCAGCAATTTTTTTTCAAACGTACATCAATTTAATGACGTCAAATTTTCAACAATAATCTAACAAAAACGTAGCAACAACAACGCCAGTCAGTTAGGTGTTCATATCATATCAATGCTAATTCAACGTTATAACCACGTTTGAAAATTTGCAACTTTAAAGTAATGTTACAATAATATTCAATATTATTACATTATTTCAAGGTTATTTAACAATAATAAAGCGTTTAAAATATTTCAACGTTCTTCAAAAATACCTACCCTGTGCAGGATGTGAATGTTTATCCGACGCTCAATTATATCATTTGAAACATTATTACGTCATACTAAATGCAGATTTTTTTCGTGATATGTTAAGTTAATCCTTTCGCTGCCACAGTCAAAACCTTTATTTTCCGTCAGGCCAAGATTTCAGTATGGCTTTCAAAAGCCTTGTTTTGTTGCCCCTCCCCTCTGCCCTTGGGGCCACCTACCATTTATACAAAATTGAAGGGGGGTGGGGGGGGAGGCACATCCACTGTTAATCAAAATTGAGTCCCCTAGGCCTAAGAAGGCTTCAAACTAAATTAGAATAAAATCCCTTCATCCCTACTCTAGAAGAAGGGTTTTAAAGGTTTAACCTCTATTTTCCCTATTGGGCCCCTCTCCTCTGGCCCTACTGGGTCCACACCCACCGTTTATACACAATTGAAATAGTTATTAAAGTATTGGACCGTAGAAGGCCACTCCCACATATATAAACAGTTGTTGAGTTTTATATGATAAATGTTTTATGTTCGGTTGAACATAGTGAATTAGAACATTAGGATAAAAACTCTTTATCCCTACGCTAGAAGAAGGATTTTAAAGATTTTACCTCCATTCCCCTATTTGGGCCACTCCTCTAACCCCTGGGGGGCCCACCCACCATTTATACAAAATTGAATCACCTTGGCATAAGGATGCTCCAGACCTAATTGGGATGAAATCCCTAAATACCTATGGTAGAAAAAAGATTTTATAGTTTTACCTATATTTCCCATACTGAGCCCCGCTCCTCTGCCCCCAAGGGGGGTCACATCCACTGGTAATACATAACTAAATTAGGATAAAATCCCTTAATCCCTTCTGTAGAAGAAGGATTTTGCAGGTTTTACCTCTATTTCCCATATTCGGCCCACCCGTCTGCCCCCAGGGCGGCCATACCCACCCTTTATACAAAATTGAGTTTCCTTGGCCCAAGGATGCTCCAGACTAAATTAGGATAAAATCCCTTAATCCCTATGGTAGAAGAAAGATTTTAAAGGTTTAACTTCTATTTCCCCTATTGGGTCCCTCATTTCTCCCTCCAGGGGGGGCCACACCCACCGTTTATAGGAAATTGAGAGCCCTTGGCCCAAGAATGCACCAGATTAAATTTAGTTAAAATTCACTAAGCCGTTCAGGACAAGAAGTGTTTTAAAGGAAAAGTTGACGGATGGATGGACAATGGACGCTGTGGTATGGCATAAGCTCACCATAGTCCTTCGGACCAGGTAAGCTAAAAATCAAAAGCTTTATTTGAATAAAATACTGCTTAGCATTTTCATTGACTAATACAGGCTTCCTAACAGTGTATATACATGTAACTTACACATCACAGACACAGTTACAGTTGTAGTTGACTCCCCGACAACATTCCTAGCAGAACATCTGTATGTCCCGTGTTCTGACTTGTCCAGTTGTCCCAGTGACAACACAGCCGAGGCAGTAAAGTTGGTGTTGTCAGGTTTTGTCCAGACAAAGGAACAGCCAGGTCTACAGTCAGCAGTACAGTTGATGTTAGGTAACGTGTTCCCCTCAGTCCTGGTGTAGTTAGTGTCCGGTGGTGAAATTGAAGTAGAAGTTCCAGGACCGTCTACAAGATAAACACATACACATTACAAACTGACTAGAAGTTTCGTATTGTGTGGTATTTCAAATGTCAAAATAGTATCCATGATCGCAGGAGTATCATACATAGCAGGTGCATTCCTAAAAAACTTAGCTATTGCACATTACAATGCTTAAATACAAACACAGTTACGTATGAGGGTCAATACTATATTTTCTATCGGCATCATTGTCAGTCATGAACTTTTAATTAGCCATCAGCTGATTTAGTCCTGTGTTATCTCAATATTTTTATATATCTTAAGTGTATTTTTACTTCAACTTGAAGACTTATTTAAAAAAACACTTTATATTTGGTTTTAATTATAATCGTGTGTGACCAATGCGATATATTTCATGTAACCTCAAATGATTGTTACTGATTTTTCAAAGAGAAGCGTTATTTTGTTCAAAGGGTAAAAATACATGGATCCAGTGAAAAATTAATTTTCCACCTAAATGTGAGTTACCGGTGGGGGGGGGAGGGGGAGTACTTTCACCTTGAACAATTAACCGTTACGATTTCAAACCATTTTGTTTGAAACAAAAACTCAATGGAATCAAAAGATAAGTTGTATCAGTTAATAAAATAATTGCTTTGCTTTTCACTCTAATGCTTTTATATGTGTGAACATTTTTCTTGTACAATATCAAATCCACGTTTTCCTGCAAAATTGACTTATTTTGAGTTTAAAATGAATATGTTACATATGTAGCTTTCCGGTTAACGGCGTCGTATTACGGCTATCCACTGGTTGAGGTAATAAGAATATATTCCTCTGAAAGAAATTCTAGTGTAAATCATGAGCAGTCATTTGATACACATACTTGTCAAGTCAGAGTAACACCACATTGCAAAGATTTATAATGAGACTAGTTATATCACTATATATATAGTATATTGTAAACTAATTTAGAAGTAATTGAATACATTATACTTTGTATTTCTCCAAGCAATGAAAAATCCACACTATTTTATTCCTATGCTAATAAGATTCCATATGTACACAGAGTTATCACAAGACAGTAATTTCTCTGTTATGAATACATACCCTTTACAGTGACACTGACGTCACTAGAGGTCCGACTCCCGTAACCGTTACTGGCCGTACACCTGTACACGCCCGTCCGACCACGTTGTATGTTGGTGAGCTGGAGACCTGACCCTGTTGTGTGGGGCTGTCCATCCTTTGTCCAGCTGTAGGTACAGACTGGGTTACAGTCAGACGAACACGTGACGGTAGGGAGAGTCTGTCCCTCTATAGGAGTGTAGGATGTAGTCGACGGGGTCAAACTTACAGTTGAAGGACCATCTGAAATAATTAGGTATTGGTATATGTACTCTATAAAACGTTATCTGCATGCAGTGTAATTTTCACGTTTAGTATTCAAATTTTAATTTTCGATGCTTTGAATTTGTGGTTATAAGATTGAAGGTTAGGTAGTGTTATCTGATAAAAGGTGTATCACGTCACCTCACATACAGTTGTATTAGGAAGAACATTACGATTGAATTATGTGTATCATTGGCGAGACCTTGAGTACGTAAACGCAATATCACATGTTTGACCTTTGACATGTGGTATTGAAGTAAAGTCATGTTGATATGAAATATTCATTTGGTTTAAATTCCTATTTTGTAAACAAACAAGAGGCCCAATGGGCCTGCATCACTCACCTGTTATTAATCAAACACTTGTAATCTTAGGATTTCATAAGAACCTATTAAAAGACTTAAACATATGACGCCTCTGACCTTGATTGTTGAACAAGGACATTAGGTTGAAAGTGGATCAAGGTCATTCATTTGAACTAACATGGTAGTCCTTCATCCCAGCATGCTACAGGCCCAATATCAGTACCCTGGGCCTTTTGGTTATTGAGAAGAAGTCGTTTGAAGATTTTACGAAATTAGACCCCTGTGACCTTGAAAGTTGGTCAAGGTCATTCATTTGAACAAACTTGGTAGCCCTTCATCCCAGCATGCTACAGGCC